CCTTCCAACTCCTCATATTCTGCGATTCTGTAACAGCTTTCTCTGGAGGCTTTTCTTTGTCTCCTTCTCATGGGGGCTGTACAGCAAGGAAAGGCCCGTCTTCTTTGTTCAGGTTAAAATATTGGAAAAAACAGCATAGACAGGCCAGTTCTGTAGCCAGATGGAGTTCTGCCTGCTGCCTTGCAAAAGAGGAAGCAGCTCGGGGGAAGCAGGAGCTTCTGATGCATTTGTATCCATTATTTAGTCTGACATCATGTCAGGGCAGTCAAAGACAGCACCCAGACACTGGATGACAGCACGTCCATGTACACGCGTATGCACAAGTGTGCATCCTGGACACTGGTTTGTGCTTGGCCTAGAAAAGTACTTTTCATTTGTGGGAGATGGAGTCAAAGGACACCACCACTTGGGTAGAAAGCACACAAACACATTCAGGGAAACAGCAGGGGTAGGAAACAGCAGAGAAGGAAGCGATGGTGAACACGAGCACGCAGCCTCACCCACTCAGCAGCTGGAGGACAATGCGACACTCACCCATGGTCTGGAAGTTGAGTGCCACCATCTGACAGCCGACGTTCCAGAACATCTGGGGCATGTAATTAGAGGAGTCCATCCGGGTGCCTTTGGGGTAAATCCGGCTCATCTGTCGCTTGTTATATCTACAGTTGCTCTATTGGAAACAAGTCTGGAGCGCTCCTTGTGTACCCTGGGGCTCCCTCATGCATTCAGATTATGAAAATTGGTTTAGCTCTGCTACCAAATGCTCAGAGCCTTCCAGACAAGAAATCAGAGAGGCCCTTGGAACAACAGGCTCCTTTCCCATACCCCTTCCACTTAAGGACAAGCATCTGGCAGCTTTGGTGTTCACTTCAGCCGGATGCATCCTGCCAAGAATCTCTGTGAACAGCCCCCAAGCCACCCTGGAAGATCCCATGTCCCACCTGCACACTTTTTATCTCTGATGAAGAGCTTACCAGGTCCTGAAACCTGAAGGCAGTTGGATATGCCTCAGCCTCACCCAAGCTCGATTAGGTCTCATACTCCATACCACCAACCACACTGGAAGAAAGTTGCCAAAAGGATACTCTACAAACTGCACAGGGAACTTGGTCAGCAGATCACAAGCCTTCAGCTCTGTGAAGGAAGAGATGACGTAACTCCGGTTCTTCTCTAGAAGCAGAAGATAAGAAAGCATTTAGAAGAAAGGCATGCCCAGCCTCCACTTTGTTTGTGGGGACTGATGGGCCCAAGAAGCACTTGATCTGTTTACTCCCTCTCTCTATGGGTATCGTTTTCTATTAAGGCAATTTACCTTTCTCCGGTCCCTTGAAAAGAGACTGAAGAATACTCCTCCATAAAAGGTGACTGATGTTTACCAGAAAGACCACAGTTGTGCACTACAGGACAGGAACTTCCTGGCCTACAAACAGGATTGGCTCGCAAAGTTTAAATGGCAATAATTTTGCCCATTTCTCCCTGGTTTTCAGGGACCTTTAAAGAATAGCTCCTGCCTGGAATTTTAGTCCCAAGTGAATCCAAATATTCAGTCTTGCACCAAGTCCTTTATTTTGCCAAGGTTCCCCTTCTTCACTCCCTAACTTTTTCCTTTTTCTTTTCTTTCTTTCATCAATCAAACCAGCTCACTCAAAGCCAGACCCAAATGAGGGAACTGTTTAGAGGAACCTATTGTGCATAAAGAAATTGCATCCATTTTCAGTGTTTGAGATGTTTCTCCGTCCAGTTGCCACAGAAGAGGAAGGCCAGACACACACATCAAGAAAAGCTGGACTCAACTCTGCCCTCAGAAGCAGCAAAGCAAGCCCACAGAGATGTCACTGGTCTCCAGGCTGTTTCTTTTCATCCTCACTCATGTAACTGGGAGCAGTATCTGACACAGTCCCTTGCCAATTCCTTACTACAGGGAGGAGGGCAGCGGGGAAGTGTTTGAGACCATGCACATGTTGTGGGAGAGAGAGAACACAATAGAAAATGGGTGAAAGCAAGTCCCAGAGGCAGGTGGAGAGCACCAGCATCTGAAAGCACTGCTCTCCTGGCTGAACGGGAATACCAGGGATCCTGAAAGGACTGAGTTTGACTTACCAGCAGAGACTTCGAAGGAGTCAAATTTGATAGGCTGTATGTAATTAACTAGGCTGGACATTTCCTCGTATGCTGTCACTTCCAAACCTGCAGTGCCCTGAGCAGAAAACAAAACCCAAGAGAAGACAGATGAGGAAGCCTTTCCTAGAGATGAAACAAAACACACCTAGGCTTCACAATCAAAGAACTCTGGTGGCTGCCCCAACCAGAGCACATCAGTTTCTTTGGCTTCTGGGTCCTACAATGACATTGCAGGCAGTGTAGTCAGGGCACAGAGTTTCTAGGTAGCTTGGCAAAAACTGAAACTGAGGCGTGCGGAGAGGCATTACTATGTAAGAAACCCAGGACCTCCCTAACCTCTCAAAGCACAGAGTCTGGGACAAACCTGAGACATTGTTTTCCCTCCTTTCTGAGGGATACTAGGGTGATGAAAATGGAAAATTGATTTTGTTTTTATTCAAGGGAATGCTGATCTTCATGTTTCAGTAACAGTTTCTATCAGACTAAGGCTAAGCTTCCCCAGACATCCTGGTGACACAAAGTTACCTCCGAATCATGCAGAATATCAAAGGCAGAGTCAGAAAATAAAACTCTTCTGCCATATTCTCTGTGCTTGCAACATCGTTTCTCTTATTCAGTTTCTCCTGCAAAAGCCATGTTGCATGGGTGAAGAAAACCTCCGATTGGTGACAGCAGAGTTCATTCCTCTCTGCATTTTGGGTTCATCTCTAATCAACGTGGTGAGGCCCCAGAGAAAAACAAACAGAAAAGGAACAGAAACAAGTGACAGTACCTCATCTGACTGCATCTTTTTAATTTCCTCTTCATCCAGGTTTCCAAGATGTTCATCCTCTTCTTCTGGTTCCTCTTCTGCCACATCACCTGCCCAGACTAAGCACACACAGCCCACATCAGCAGTACGTATCAGCTGCACCCTGAGACAAGACATCACAGAGTGCTAGTAACGGAGAGCTCTGCAAAACCTCACAATCAAGTCATGCAGGAGCAATAAATGGAAGAAGAATCCAGTTGTATTAGGCAAATCCAGATATGAACTAGCACAGTCTAGACTAGGATGCTCGAGAGATCAAACCACTCCTCCCACAGGCTCCCCTGACAATCACAGTGCTGTTTTCCCCACCAAGGACACACACACTCATGGCAATAAATACCCATTTCTAGGTGCTCTGTAGTGGTGCTCATTTTGTCTTCATATGACTTCATGTGCTCCTACCATGACAGGGACTGAAAATTCAGTGTTCTACCACAGGTCCCTGGGCTCAAGAGGTGACAGCCTTGACACTGAGGAAGGGGAGGAGTCCTGAATGTCCTATAAGCCTTCAGGAACTTCACAGTGAAGAACTAGGCCATCATACATTTATGGTTATCAGAGAGCTACAAGCAGTAAAAAATTATTCACCCTTTGCTCAAACCATTAGCCAGTGTGTGTCAATGAATTACCAACTCCCACGGCCATATGCCTCAGAGTAGGCAGAAGAGCTGGCTGATGGGCAGGGCATAAACTGATTGTCTCTTCTCGTTGGAATCAAGTGCTTGAAAATATTCTGAAGATTTCATTTCTCTTCCAAGCTTATACTGCTTCTTGAGATAACTGAATTAATGACCAGTATTGCCTTCCCTCAAGCTAGTACTGGGTGATTTGGAAGGGCTCCAGCGGGCCAGACTTGCTCATCTAGCTATGTTAGTCTCATTTTCCCTTCAGACTTACCAGTATCTTCAGCATCCACAGGGGCTGGCTGCTCGATGATATCTGGTTCCACATTCCTCCCTTTCTTCAAAGAGTTCTGCCTCTTCCCAGATACAGATTGGTTCTTTTTGTTCTTAATCAAGATTTTCCCTAACAGATCCTTAGGACTTGGCAAAGGAACTCCTGGCTTCAGCTGCAACAGATAAACTTCACACTGAATTGTCATCACAAAGACAGAATTCAAACACTCGCCTCTCCTGTCTCTCCCAGCACCATTCCTCTGGCCGTTAACTGCTGCATGGACACATCTCTCTCCCACTGTATACGTTAATTTCTCTATCTGCCAGCATACCCCACTATATCTATGCGATTTTCTCCAAAGACTTCATCTTTGGTTTCAGACAAGCATTTTGCACCTCTCAGCCCTCTCACATTCTGCTCCCTGCACATGCCATGTTCTTCCCAACCACCCATCCTGCACCATAACAAACAAACAAACAAATCTACGTGTCCTGAAGCCATCCCCACACCTCTGGCTTTCCCATTCCACCTACTTCTCTCGTTATCCCAGAGCTTCAGCACTCAGAGCAGCACTCAGGCCGTATTTAAACACTCTGCCTGCAGCAGATTTGAAAAAAGATCCCAGAGTAGGTGGCTGAAGAAAAGGATGTATGACTCAGACTGCTTCTTGACCCTGAGCAGACAGCAACAGGCCTATTAATAATTTAGCTAATACCCTGGACTGTTTCTCCTCACACCACCTCGCTGCCCGTTTCTCCCCATTGCCTGGACAAGGACATGGGTCTGGACTGTGGGCAGCTGCTGATTTGCTCACTGCTTCCTTTCAGCTCTTCTTTTGATCTCAGTGCTTGGAAATAGATGTTTGGGCTAGGCACCTCAGCTCCTCCTCCACTATGTATCCCAAGGAACTGCCTCATGCTGTGCAGAACACAGGCACTGCCTGTTATTTGTAAATCAGTGTCCATTGACAAAGTAGCTGAAACAGCAATGTGGATGGGGATCATCAAAGATGCCACCGTGTCCACAAAATACATGCTTGTACAAGTAAACTGATGACTAGGGTCATGCAGATCAGGAGCTCTGTGCCTGGAAGGGAGTATTTCCAGGTTGGTAACAGGAATTGAGAAGCATTGGTAGGAAGAGCCTGAAATGCTACTAAGCCCTTGTTCCTGTTTCATTCCAAAGCAAGTGCTGGCAGACAGATTTGAAACAGAAGTGTGTACAAAAATACACTGATCCATCTTGGTACAACTGATATGACTTGGTTACCTACAGCTCAGTTTCCAAAGCCACTCAAGTCACAGAGTGTTAAATAAGAGCAGAGTCAGGCAAGTGCTTAAGGAAACCTCTGCGACTGAGAAGTCTTCCATCCACTTACTGTGTTGCTCACCCCTACAAGTCAGGCTTATTTGTCCATGTCATTGTCTTCTCTTTTACTGTCCTTGCATCTGTTGTGCCATCTCCTAGCACCACAAGTCACCATATTTTCAGAAAGATGTCTCCACTAGCCTCCTTCCCCAAATTCCACTTACTGGGTATTTTTCCAGTGGCTCTGTCAGCAGCATATCTCCAAATATAGTTCTGCAATACTCAGCCATCTTTGCCTGCTGCTTGGGCCTAATAAACAAAGAGATAAAGCAGGAGTGAACAGGCAAACAGATGCCCAAATCCAGTGCTTAGCATGAGCAACCATCTTGAGAGATCCACATACTCTACTCAGAAAATGATCTCTTGCCTTCACTTAGACAGCTATGCAGATTTTGAAGTCCCTTCCCAGGCCCATTCCCATTTGTTCATACTCTGCCATCTTGAGCTAAAAGGCTGCACAACTGTGGTCACTCTCACTCTGCAGTTTACTGCTCAACTTTCAGCTCTCACCCACCTCCAACTGCGTCAGTTATCTCGGTCAGTGTTTCATTTCAGCTCAGGCACTCACTGAAAACCCAGCAGCCCTCGCCTGCATACTTTCTGCTCCAGAGAACACAGTCCTCCCACATCTGGCCCAGATATCACCAGATACTCACGAGTCCACGTGGTTCTCGAAGGACAGGATGACAGGGTAGAGAGATGTTTTAAAAGCACTTTCTGCAATGGCCTCAATGGCATCCTAAAGGAGAGGCAATGGTCAGAGAAGAAACCAGCTCTCATTAATATGAGTCATGCAGCTGAGCTCTCGCTGAACAGACGCCCAAGTTTCAGATCTCCAAAATGATCATTGTCAGGGGCTTCTCTTTTAATGTAACTAATCTTGTCCCAGTAAGGAGGTGAGAAAAACATCTTCTTTTTCAAACTCACCCAGATTTCCAGCTCCAGAGGATACATCATGCAGCTAAACTCAATAGCTTGCATAATAAACGAAGCTAAAGATGTAAGAATATGAGGTTTTATTTTTGTTCCATAGTTCAGTGTATACATAAACCAAGGTGAAAGCATCTTGCCAGAGAGGCAATCCACTGCCACATGCACTTTGAATTGGTAGAGAAAGGTGTACGTGGTACCAGATTAAGCTGCTTCAAACCCTGTTTATGCTTACCTCTCAACCTGTCCAATTTTCTATCATTTCACCTGTTTATAAAATCCTTCTGCCTAGCAGCAGAGAAAACTGGAATGTTCAGTAACCAGCAGTGCTGACATTTCAAATGCAAATACCATGGAAACGTTCTCAGCATTAATGATATAAGAAAAAATACTCGTATTTTCCCCAAGGCCCTGTTAAACTGCCACAAACTTTCCACTATTTTCTTTTCTGGTGCTGCTAATTGCCATGGTAAAGAAGTGTCATTTGCTTCTTTGCAATTATAGCCCTCTACTGCCCTAAAAATCGTGGTTCAGCCATGCTCTCAGCAGTGAGGCAGGCTGCCACAGCCGCTCCTCCATGGACCACTTGGATTTTCTACCACAGAAACCTGCAAGGTTCAGAGGAAGAGAAGCTACAGGCAAAGCTACTAAAAGGCCACAGGCAATGGTGGAAAAGGGAGAGAAGTGCGGAGGAAAAGATCTATGCATTATCTTAAGCTAAAGCCTGGGCACGTGGTGTGTTAACAGGTTATAATTTCTTTGAGGTACAGTCACATGCTTTAGCAGAACTCTGCAATTCCAGCAGCTACAGATGTCATTATTTCTCCTACCTGTAGTGAACTGCTGGGCAAAAAGCAGCGGTGGTACTACAGGATTTGGGGAATTACTGACACTGCATATGATGATACCTCTGATCTTAAGGATTGGTGTTTTTTTCCCCACATGAATATTTGAGTAACAGTGAAGTGTGGGAACTGGGGAGAAGAGACGGAATAAGAATAAATAGCTTTAAAAAGAATATAAATACTCCTGTGTAAAAGAGTGCAGAAAAAATAAGTGTGATGCACCGATTTTTAACCTGCAAGCTGTTTGTAACTTCTGTGGTTAAATGCTCTAAATTTCCAAGGGAGATGTAGGCTTTGGACTGTGCTTCTGAAGTCTGGGAGCTGAATGTTCAGGGAAACCATCTGCCCAGCATGCTAGAGGGCAGTTGCTCCACTGAACACATTCCACACACTCATGTCATTAGGAAATAATTAAAACCTATTTCACCAAAGCACCACCATGTGAGGCTGTAAGCTGCACAAACCTACTGTAGACCAGCTACAAGATACACTCATTTTAACTGTTTTTAACTGTTTGTTTTCTAAAAGCCATCTTGTTTCTTTCTCTGACATGCCTCCATCCATAAACCCCTCAGTCCATCCACTTGACAGTTCCCTCAGCCAGCCTCTTCAGAGATCAGTCGAAAACCAAGCAGGGGAAAGTGTGTGCAGAGAAAACTCCTTCCATACCTTGAAGAGGATCTCAGTTGTCATGGTGAAGCCGTGAGTGATGATGGGCTCCTCATCCGGAGGACGGCCCTTCCAGCAATCCAGCTCCACGCAGCGGCAGCCAGCCAGCAGTGTCTGGCGATACATTTCAGGAGACGAGATACCAGAAAACTGACCAGCTGGAAGAGTGCAGAAGGCTCAACATTAGCTATTCATGTGGGATGCTTTCTGCATAAGCTGGAGCAGCAGAGTTCCCTGCCATCCTCAGGCAGGCATACGAGGCAGATTGAGAAGATTTTTTTCAGTTACAGGGTGACATTACTTCTGACAAAGCATTTAAGTGCCAAGCCCCTCACAGTTCATTACAGCACTCAGCCCTACAAACTTCAGGGCACATACATCTGCCTTTCTGATGGTCAGCATCATTCATCCATCCGTGGTGGTGGGACCTACGTGTTGGCACTGAGGCAGGCTCTGGAACTGCCCATACCTGTTAAATATGTGTTGTGTGATGAATTGATGAAGTAGTGTGAGAGTGGCTGGGTCATGTCTTGGTACAGCATCAATTTGTCCAGTGCTATCACGTTGTTCTCAGGGCCACAGAGAAACCAGACCATCCCCTCTGGAGACAACTGCCCTACATGGAAAACAAAGCCATTAACTACCAAACCAAAATGATTCCGGCAACTCCTTGCCAGTGCATTACAACACAGAGGCTTGTGAGAATCAGGCTGAGTGCTCCCCTGGGAAAGTCAGGGTAGCAGAAGGTGCATGATCCTCTGCTACTTTCACACTACCTCTACAGCAAGACTTTTTGGCTGAGCAAGACTCACCTCTCTGGATGTTAATCCCGCTGGGCTCATACTTCTCTATCAGGCTTTGCACCTGCTCAGGTTTGGCTGGTGGGAAAAGGATGTCATTGAGGCGGGAGTCTCGCTGCTTCTTGTTGATAAACTTTGCCAAGTGCTCCTTGGTCATGTAGGGCTTTGCTTTTAAATGACTAAGGTGAGAGAATTACAGAGGAGCAGCGGTAAGGCTTGTGTATTGCCCAGAAAAACCTTTTCACAAACAAGAGATTGGTCCATTCTCTGGTTAGCAATGAGCATTTGCCTCCCCAGGCCCAGAAATTTCTGTGTTGTCTACATTTCTTCCTGTAAATGATGCTTCCCACTGTGGCCTTTCTTCTTCCTAACTAATTTGATACTGTGCAGAGGTTGTGCTGAGGGGAGAACAAAGTGCATTTTGAGGCTCTGACTCTAAAGGGACCTGAATTTCAGAGCATACTGAATTGCTTGCCCTACGAAATCAAATCTATTTAAGAAGTCACAGATTTAGCTACTTGAAAAAAAGGTCTCTGGCTGTTTATGAGGATCTATGGTTCTCACACTGTACGTGGCATTGTTTGAGGCTAGCCACAAGTAGTATCACATTAGCACGATCTAGTGTCGACCTGGAATCAACCCTCCTGATGGTGACCTTAAGAGGCCCTGCAGCACAGTGAGGTCTAATCTTTTTTATTCCAGCTGTGAGTGAAAGTGTTAAATGCACGGCACTGTTTTGTGACCTGGGTTCCTGCCCTTCTGAGGCTTGAGACCAGACAAGCCGCATAGCATAAAATATCCTCACCCCTCCTTTTTCCCTATCTTTTGCCACAAGGGATCGAGTTCTCTGACATGGCTTGAGGAAAACTTACTGTGAGGTAAATATCTCATCAATCTCAGGTCGTGGACACAGATTCATGAGGAAAGTTTTATACACAGTCTCAGGGAAGTCCTCTGGGTTGATGGCATCATTCTGAGAATGCAATGAGGATGTGTCAGTATCACAAACCCATGACAGCTTTCACCTCACCACTAACACCCACAGTCCAGCACTTGTTTGTGACAATGCAAGCAAGCGACTGGGACATTCGGTAAAGTGTTTAGGAAAGAACAGATGGAGTGAGGAGGCACCATGCTGCCCTATGTCAAAACAGACAGTTATTTAAACTGTCACTCGGTGCCTCTTGTGTGACAGCATAAAATTAAGGCATGATGCAATGGTAGGAGCTCTCAGAGGTCTGGATTGTACTCTGCAGGTTGGCAGAAGTACCAAGATTAACCAACAGATCTACTGCTTCAAAGAGCAGTGGCACAGGCGGCTGGAAATGTGCTGCTTCTTGTGTCACATAGCGCAAGTGATGGAGTCTTAAGTTTTATTGCAATACTATTGGTAAGAACTGATCCTAGCAGGCGTGCAGTTAAGGCATGGCAGCTACGGTAAGGAAGAGATTTCACAGCAACTAAGAGCATCTGGGTTGACAATTTTGTCATATCAAAGAGCATCACAGTCAGGGTAGGCAAAAAGTTTCTTCTCAAACTAGTGAGACCTTCAGCTACCTAGCAAAACCCTTACCTTGCCCTTTGGAAGATGACAAGCGCTTAATGCTCCTTCCACCCTCTTCCTGTCTGCAGGAAACATCTGAAAAATACTGACGGGACAGGGAAAAAAGAAATCACAACATAGCAGGAGTGAAGTCAGGAAGCCTGGGTTTGGGTGGCTGGCAGCTGCAGCCAGAGTGCAAGACACTCAAAATGCACAGCAAAGGAGAGTGATGAGAAGACTATAAACATGAACCTAAGACAGACAGTGCTTCTCCACGGCAGTAGCTGATGTGCCAAGTCCTATAAACCCACAGTGGATTTTCTGACTGCTGCCTTAATACAGAAGTTCTGTATTTCTGCTATGGACTCTGTAAGAGCCCTGTAACTAAACTGCACCAGCTTACTCCCAAAATCTCTCTTCACTGCCCTTCCCCTGCCCCTCTGGGAGGTGCCTCCTGTGGTAGGTGGCCTCATGCCACAAATTCCCCAGGACACTTCGCTCCACAAGACACTATCCCATGCGGTAGCTGGCATTAGCAAGGAATAACTTTGCAGTGAAGACAACGCTCAAAAAAAGCAAACAAACATTGTGCACATTTTCTGCTTTGAAAGATGGCAAAATTTTCTGGAACCTTAGGCTTTCCATTAATTCAAGGAACAAACTTACTACACAGGCAAAGAAGCTGGCACATTAAATGACGGAAGCACAAAATTCTGATGCTGCAGAAACCAAAGCTCATCTGCAATCTAGAAAGCTGGGTACCGGTGTGCAGGGCAGAATTCACTTGGTCAAGCCTTTAGCTTAAAGCAGCTTCTTTGCTGCACTGTGGAATAGTAACAATAAGTGAAATCTCCCAACCTTCAGAATATCCCAGTCAGCAGTAATGAAGCCTCCTCCGTGGATTAATTTAGATGTCAGCTCTATTAAGCTCCTGGCATCACAGGTGCTCAGAGCCAGAAAGGGAAACAAAAAGTGCCAAATGTGTTGACAGGTGGAAAGTGTTCAGTGGGAGCTGCAGCAGACTTATGCAAACTCAGGGCATATTGGCTCCCAAGCTGCCCTTTGCAAGGCAAAAATTTGCAGCACCCTTGTTACGATTCGAAAGGGATTTAAATGTCTAAAAAGAAAGGCAGATGCTCAGTGGAATTTTCAGAAGAATTCAGACATGGAGTTTTGAAAGCCTTACATAGACCTGCACCTGGAGATACTGAGTATTTTTATAAATCTGGCTCTTAATGGCACTATTTAATGGCCTAATGTTTTGCAAAGTACTTTAAGCACTCCACAAGAAAGACAGGCCAGGGCATTGAAGAGAGGTACAGCCTGTACCAGGTATTTTTTCTAGCTTATTTCAGAAGAATAAGCTGTTTTCTCTCTGTAGTAATGCTACCTTGCTTGCATTTTAAAGATCAATTCAAAGTACGCTTCCCTAGTGTGAGTTATTCATTCAAGACCTATACATTTTTAAAAGCCCTTTGATGCATACACTGGTTTCTGACAGAACGAAATTCTGCTGCTGGTTGGTGGTTTAGAAAACAAACAAGGAGAAATGTTTACTGTTGAATAATGATCAACAATCCACACAGCACAGACTTAATCTAGAATCACTATGCAATATAACACACAGTAGGCAGCATATTTATTACAGGTGATTAGCGCTTGCCTCTTGCGATGCTGTGACACAGCATAAACCTAGAAGCAGAGTGGTTCAAAACTTGCCAGTGAACACCCACAAATGCACTACCTTCAGGTCTTTTTTTAAAAAAAAAAAAGAAGATAATATGTGCACCCAAAAGGTAATTCAACATGACAGTGCAGCACTTTGTCATTCTATGAATTTAATCAACGTGGAGGAGCCATAGGATCAGCCACAGAGTGATTTTACTAGGGAAGACTAAGTGGCACAAAATCAATTCCCTGCAGTACCAGGGATAAGTAATAGGCAGGTCCATGCTTCAGCAAAGCAGCCTTGGCTTATGCTAATGGCAGCCCTACCCTGCTGCTCAAAGCCAGCCCTGAGGACAGCGAAGGGCAGATCTCCACTGTTCTGTACTTGAACCAGCATTTACACTGGCCCAGAGATTTGTTCTCAAAGCCCATTTCCCCTCTCATGCACATTCAGTGTAAAGACTGAGGGCGGTAGGATTACACCAGTGAAGAACAGCAGCAGTGGTCACACACAAAGACAGGAGACAAACGAAAGCAATAGACCCCTACTTCAGGCTACCTGGAGAGTCAAGCGAAGAGCTCTTCAAATACAGAACTCTTTATATGCAAGGTAAAATGAGTCCTGCACCCCATCCACCTTTCAACTCAGGTTTACAAAACAATCTGTGATCAGAATTTTACAGAAGTTACTTTGGTTTGTTGATTATTTCTTGGCAACAGCCAGGAAATGAAATCCCTGGCTGTTTAAGATTATTTCTTGCTGTAGATGAAGGCCACAAAAGGTATCCTTTCTAGACCCAAATTATATCCCAGGCCCTTCCTTGGGAGGAACATAGGTGCAGCAGCAGTCCTTTCATGGCCTGAATCCAGAATGACCTCTACCTCTTAGGTGCAGAAAGGGCAGGCAGCTGAAGCCACTGGGCAACCATCCACTCACTACCTGCTCTGCCTTTAGTCTGACTGAACACACAATAAACCAAATATCCATACTCACTTCCTGACAGGAATCTTTCCCTCTGCATTAAGCTGCATCTTCAGCTTCACCAGGCTGTAAAAAAAAACACAACAACCCAGGATTATGAAAATGCACTTGCATAATCTTAGAGGTCCTATTAAGTAAGGAGAAAGAAAAAACACACAATTGGGGGGAAAAAAGAATAAAAATCTAACAGTTAACTGAAAATCAGGGTCCTACAGACCGTGAGCTTAACCTCAGACAGAACCTGTTACTGTTTCTTGGGAAAGAGAAATAGGCAAATTATAAAAGCTTGGATATCAGAAATGTATGATATAGATATAAGAGTATTCCCTATTATTTAGCATTCCTCAGTGATCCCAGGCTGCCCACCAAACAGGATTACTGAGCCAAGGAAAAGAGGCAGCACTTTGCTGGGGTGAGTGCTGTGACCGCAGTGGGAGACACACTTGAGGCTCAGAATTTCAGTTTATCCAGCACCATGTGTGTGCTTGACTGGATCAAGCATTCTGTGCCAGTCAGCTGTCGTGTCACATATGGCCCAACTACCAACCCCCTGCCTGTGCCTTGGGGCTCCTGAGCTGACGCAGGACTTGTTTTGGAGGCCGACAAAGACCCTGGATGTTAAGCTTTTTCTTTCTGGTACAGACACAGCAGTACAGGAATGTTTCAGAGAACAATGTTTTCCAGAAATCACTTACATTTTCTCTAGGAAGGTATACCGAGAAGCGTTGTATGTGAGGGGATTCCGAACGATGGCCATAATATCCTCAGCCCAGCTCTGGGAACAAACACAAGACAGAGACAGTTGGGCGCTATGGAGCTGCACCAAGAAGTACACAGCAACATTGAAAGGGCACAGACCTGTCCTGATACTGCTGGGCTACAAATCCCAACAAGCGCACCCTGAGCCTGGCTATTTCATCTTTCTACTGCCCATATATACCAGCAGCTGAAACTTCTCCACTGAGTTTTCCCAGCTGTCTGTTCAACCATACAAAGCACATGAAGGACAAAAATGACATACTGAATTTCTTCCTCTGGCCCTTCTCCATGTAGGGAAGAAGTTTCTAGAACTATGGAGGTACTAACACCTACATGAACATAAACCTGCTTGTTTCTAACTTTGTCAGTAACATTGATAGGGTTCAGTTCCCTGTCTTTCCCTCTCCTCTCCTGCTCCCTCCATTAATGCTCCAAGCCTTAGTGTTTCCCAGTGCTTCCTTGCCCTCAGGACCCCGATACCTTGCCAACATTCTCCTTATAGGACACAAAGTTATGGAAAGTGAGGTCCACCATGTCAGGGCCAGACACAATAGTCAGAGTCTTAAGCAGGAAGGTGCTGTGAGGGTAATCTAAGTTAAAAACCTCTCGGAGCTTCTGGCACTGCAAAAGAAACAGAACAGATGGGGATCAGTGGAAAATGAGGCAAACTGCATTGACCCAAATTCAAAGCAAGCTTTTGAAAGGTTGCAAAATTGTTTAATGTGATCTTCCTTTCCTCGGCTTCCCTTATTTTTCCTCTTTATTCTGGAGCCTGCCTTACCTGGATCCTCCACGGAACCAAACATTGTGACTAACATCACTGCATGCAGACTGAAAAAGTACAAGTTGGAGACTGCTCTTAAAGAAATTTCTTCTGAAACTTCAGCCTGAACTTGCAGAAAAGCAGATTTGGTCTGCTCATACCAGAGGTGCATAACCAGGTTATTGCAGCCATCCATTTGTCTAAACACCTGCTAAGAAGGGTCTTTTAGATTAGGGTGGTGCCTCTTGCTGTAACCTCCCTCCACCACAAGAAAGATACTATTTGGGACCCAGAAAGTCTACCAGCTTCAGACCTGGTTACAGGAGGGATAGGCTCTCTCCCACGAAGTCACATTTTCTGCTAGCTGTCAATTGCTAGAAGTGGTTTTTTCCATTGCAATTGCAGTATCCTCCAGCAATGGCTCACCAGAGATTTGTTTTGTTAAGTATAAGGCTCATCTGATTAGTCATACTTGGATTTCCTCCCCATGTGAATGTATTTATAGAATCCCTTTAAATTATTTAGCATTTTCTGCATTTGTACGTAAGGCATCACTAAGCCAAGGTATCCTGCAGTTGTACCGACACTATTTATAATGAAAGGATAATTCATTATCCAAAGTGCAGGATAAATCCCTATCAAAGCAAAGAGGCAACCTGTCAGAGCACCTGCTCCTGTAGAAACTAAGGGCAACATTCACGACTGTTAGCAGAGCAGGTCAGCCTCAGAAGTTTCACTGGAGCTGGAATCTGGCCTCTCACTGGATGCACAAACCTACAGTTAGAGACATGACCAAGTCACCGTGTTTCAACAAGTTAACAAGTTAAAACATCAGTAACACACTAGATATCACCGTAACTTCAGCATTTAGCTAAGTTACTTTGGTGTTTGCTATAAACTCAGAGCACACACAATAGTCAGCTGCTGCAGCTCAGCCCGTGCTTAGTGAACTGTTAAGCTCCCACTGACAATGTCTGACCCTTTGCAAGTTGAAAGCGAACTCCCCGTTCTTAGACTTCCATGGACCCAAATTTAGCCCAAACCAACTGAAAACCCCTGTAACGCAACCACCTGTATCACATTGCAATTCAAATGGCAGCGGTTCCATTTCTGCCACAGAATTGTCTCTTTACATTTGGCCTGCAATAGCACAGACTCCACGGCAGCCCAACTTCAGGCATTCTTACACGTCTGCACAATGTCACACACAGAGCTGCATATGTATTTTATAAGGAACTCTGCAGACCTTTTTTCCACTGCATTTTTGCCAAATTTCTGGAGCATTTGCAATTTGGACACATCTGTAACAAACAGGCAGCTTTAGGAAAAACAGGAAGGCCTGGATTATAACTCAAGATCACTCGCTGTCCCTCCCTTCATAAAAGCAGCTCTCTGCAGGGGTAACACTGAAACCAGTATAATCCAAGAGCATTTGGAGGGAAAGAAGCAGGAAAGCTGTCAGCCCCATCCAGATTTGCCTATTTTCTAATAGGGAATTTCTCAAATGGCTCATTTTCACTTTGTGAGCAATTTTCCTTCCCAGAAGCAAGCAGCACCCACATACCTCCACCTCCTTTCTGCACTCATAGCAACTTCTGGATGGAGCGTAACTTTTCATTACAAGTGGCAAAGCGTTAGGATTTTAACTTCAAATTTAACTTAATCTTGCAAACACACTGGTGTTTGTTCAGCTTCTTTAATGCTGTAAATTATCTGAAGCTAAGACAATGGAGAACTTGCGGTTTATGCTGAACTCATTTCCTGTATTTGTTACAAATCGACTCCTCCCAGCCCTTCCTTCTCTGCAAGCTGGCATCGCTGGGCTCTCCAACAGATGTTTCTGTCTGTGCTGTGTCCCCTGCAAACTGAATGCTGGATCAGAGCTTCTGCCTTTATCTGGCCGTGCTGTGCCAGACAAACCTGACGCAGGCCGTGTTTGGTAATGGCCTGATGCCTCATCTCCTCCTCAGAAGTTGTTCACGGTCAGCCTTACCCTGTGCAGCTTTCCATATGCTGTGACCTTTATCAGCGTTAACTTACGACACCTCCTAACACTCCGGTGAAGCTGACAGCTTTATTTTATGAGAAGAAAACTGCAATGGGGAAAGGAAAGGATCATCTTGTTAAGGATCTAAATTGGGTCAGATTTTCCCAGCGACTGACTTCCTGCCTGCCCTTAAGCAAGTCACTCGCTTACTTTGTGCTGCCTGCTTTATGTGGGGATTATCTTCCCCACGGGATAAATGCAGTGATGTTGGAGTAACATTGAACGAAGATGGTGAGAGAGGACCAGAGACTATCAAGGAGCACTGAACCTGATGCTGAGTCTTGGCTCTTTCATAACCTGTGCTCCTTTAGCACCTTGCACTGCAGCTTCACTACAAAATTACTTAGTGTCACGTTGCAGAAGGTTGAAAAGCAGGACAACCATATTAGCCATGCAAATCAGAGGAAGGGAAACATGCTTAGCAAATCCACTTAAAAAAAACAACCCCAAACAAACAGAAAACAACCCACTGGCAGAGTGGTTGAAATACAGATTCAGCTTGCATTTCAATTCCCACCCTGCTGATTTCCCTGAAAGCCTCACCTGGTCGAGCCAGATTCATAGTCCAGAAAAAAGCAAATTCTCATGCAAATTTAAACAAAAAGCCAGGCCTAATGCAAGAGGCAGAGCGAGACACTCCTTCCTCCACTTCAAACGGGATACAGCCGAACGACAGCCGGGTTTTGCCACAGCTGCACGCACTAAACTGACAGTTTTGTGTAACAAAATCCCAGCATCGCTTACGTATCTTCATAGAACACACTACATGATGTGGAGCCTGTGGTATTAGAAGGCAGGACTTGACCACAAGTCTTCCCTTTTGGAGAAGAAAGGCTGTGTTTGGTAGCCAGAAGGTAAAGTAAAGGGAGCACCAACAATTTTTCAGATGTCTTTGGCTCTGCAGGAAACGCTCATGTCCACGTTAGCAGCACTGCTCGCCATGGGATTCAGCAACAAAATCGATCACTGTGAAGTGGGGAGGCTTGTCCTGCCATCGCCTGCACCCTGGGGCCAGCTTGTCTCTGCACCAAGCATCTCGGCGAGACAAGGCAGAAAAAAATACACAGATGAAGCACTCTCAGCTCTCACTGCTGTCTTATCTAAAGGAACCGGAAAATGCAGCAGCACACAGATTCTCATGGCACAAAACAGCCCACGGCATTCTGGAATCAAGCAGGAACAGACTGCAAGAGAGAGATACAGACTGTGCGTCCTCAGTAACTTCTGTCCCTATGGTTTAAGAACTCACACTGCAGAAAGATGGCAGAGGCAGAAAACGGGCCCAACATGGCAAAAGGCCATTATTTACACGTGACCCTTTCCTTGCTCTGCTATTTATAAATCCTTCGCAAACCACAGGCTCTACCCACTTTCCTCTTGCATGCACACACATCAGTTTATCTCCATACAGATTCACAGA